TCCACTCTGTCCTCTAGGGGCGCTGTGAGTCAGAATTGACTCCACGGCAGTGGGTGTAGTTTGGGCTTTGCTTCTGTGAAGATTGACAGCCTTGGAAACCCTGTGGGGCAGTTCCACTCTGTCCTCTAGGGGCGCTGTGAGTCAGAATCGACTCCACAGCACACAACACCTACAACATAGACGGTAGCCTGTATGCAAAGCCACACTTGCGTAACTATTCCAAAGATTTCCTTGTTCAAGGTGGGCAGGGAAAGCATTCCAGCTTCACATACGAAACTATCTGCATAATAAACACTCTGAAAATATCAGGGAGAACAGTAAACAGCTCCCAACCCAGGGCTGTCGGGCATAGTGCCTAAAATAACTTTAAAGTCTTGTACCTCTCGGCCCACGCTTCCCTTCTCTAAGGATCAGAGGTGGTAGGTTAAGTAGGGTTCCATGCTCCTCCCCCCAGTCAGTAGTCAGTGGAGATGTGCTGAAAATGAATGAATGGATCAGTGAGTGATTAAGTGAATGAATGTCCACCTGGTGGTTATAGACACTGTCCTTTCAGTTTAGTCATTTGAGACAGAAGTAAAGGGAGGATAGGAAAGCCAGCCCTGCCGAGTATCTCGGAGACTTGTGGACATTTGTTGTTGTTGTTGTTGCTGCTGTTATGTGCCATCAAGTCAGACCCGACTCATAGCGACCCTTCCTTGGGTTTCTGAGACAGTATCACTATGGAAGTAGATTGCCCCATCTTCCTTCCAAAGAGTGGCTGGTGGGTTCGAACCGCCAGCCTTCTGGTGAGCAGTGAAATGCCTTAGGCGCTATGCCACCAGAGCTCCTATGTGGTCACTATGAGTTGGAATCGACTCGAGGGCCGCCAGCAACATCTCAGTGCAGTTGTTGGACGGAGAACTGTTTAACTTGTTCTGACCCGTTCTATGTGTTTATTTCAATCTGCTCTCCCTCCCTTCATTGTTTTTCTGCTTTCTTAGGAATGTGCCCATTATTTCCTCGAGGTGAAAGACAAAGACATCAAGCACGCCTTGGCTGGGCTCTTTGTTGAGATTCTTGTCCCCGTCGCTGCTGTGAGTTACATCTTCATCCTCAAGAACGTCTTCAGGTTGGGTTAGAGAGCCAACAGTCAGATGGATGTCCCACTAACTTGCCTCTCTGTTTTCAGGCTGTCAAAAACGAAGTGAATGTCCCCTGCCTTAGGAACTTTGTGGAAAGCCTCTATGACACCACGCTGGAACTTTCTTCTCGAAAGAAACATTCCTTGGTTAGTAACTCAGCAAATCCACAAAACAAGCAAACAAAATGGTGGAGACCAGAAGTCCTAGGCAGAAAGTTCCTTGGGAGTCATGAGGGCACCACACACGTCAGCCTGACCTCCAGCTCCCTCAGAACGAGGGACTGTTTCAGAACGTGGACTGTGTGTTTAGCATGGCCTGGCGTGGATCCTCCCATGAGTTCTGTGAGTGCGTTAGACCTCGTCACCTCAGGTGTCCTTTCTACTCCTAAGGATTCTGTTTGTTTTTAAGATGGACTTAACTTGAGTTTTGTTTCAATTCCTGAGCATTTTTTTTCCTCCAGTCTGAAGGCTAACGTTTATAACAGCAGTCCCTCTTCTCAGTCCTCAGGAATCCTCACTGGCTCTTTTCCTCTCCAAGCCAGCAGAATCAAAATGGAACCAGGCGGAAATGGGAGTTGGGAACCAGTTGTTGTTGTTGTTATGTGCCATCGAGTCAGACCCGACTCATAGCGACCCCTCCTTGGGTTTCCGAGGCAGTATCACTACGGAAGTAGATTGCCCAACCTTCCTTCCGAGGAGTGGCTGGTGGGTTTGAACCGCCAGCCTTCTGGTTAGCAGTCAAGTGTCTTAGGCACTATGCTACCAGAGCTCCCTTGGGAACCAGAGCGGTGCCCAAAGGAAAGATGCTCAAAGGCTGGGAAAACGATGCTCGGGGAGGTCTTTGTGGTAAACAGCAGTGCCTGAGTTCTCTAGTGCTGCTGGAACGGAAATACCCCAAGAGAACAGATTTAACAAATGGAAGTTTATTCTCCCACAGTTGAGAAGGTTAGAGTTCAGGGTGCTGGCCGTAGGGGATGGCTTCCTCTCACTGTCTGTGGTTTTTGGGAGGATCCCACACCAAGGAGCTGGGTCCAAAGGACTCCCTTGCTCCCAGCTGTTTCCTGGTGGTAGTAGATCCCCCCACACCTCTTCTCCCTCCTTTGATCTCCACATTCCAGGGAAGCTCCCCTGAGATCTAACAGGGCTGTGGTGGGACCAAAGGTGGTGCTTCCCATCCTTAATCCTCTTGCAACTCATCACATCAGATCACCTCACAGAATCATTACACAACTGCCAAACCACTGAGAATCATGGCCCAGCCAGGTTGACACAGATTTTTGGGGGCACGCAGTCCAGTCCATGAGAAACAGCATAGAATGTTGTTTTGAATTGCAGTCCCACCCTACCCCCTGTGACAAATAATGGTTCATTTATAAAGCAGCCAGAGATACATGCCACCCATGACTGAGACAGTGTGGGGCAAGCGGGTTGCTTACGTAAGCAGTTACTGGTATGGTTCACACTACCCATCACTGAAGACGGCCGCCATTGTTTCAGCAGGTACTCAGCTTTGCGAAGTAGGTGACAAATCTGTCCCTTTATTCTCTGACCTGGTGCCCATTGTGACTAACTGTGTGCATTTGTTGGTGGGATGGTGGGTAAGATTATTGACTGGAATTACAATTGCTGTCAATGGTAGCCATCGTTCAAAGTTGGTTTAAAACCAAGTGATGAATACATGCTTAAGCTCCATGTCTCATTGTAAGGATTTCTGGTGGCACAATGCCTGAGGCATTGGACTGTTAGCCCGAACGGTGGTGGTTCAAACCTACCAGCTGCTACACAGAAGGAAGGTGGAGCAGTCTACTTCCGTAAAGATTTACTGCCTTGGAAACCGTGGGCATCACTGTGAGTTGGAGTTGACTCATAGGAGTGGGATTTTGGGGGGTAGCTCCTTGTGGCAGTTGTTTCTTGCTAATTCAAATTGTTGGGTCCCATCGAATCCGTTTATAACTCACAGTGACCCCATGCGGTAGAGGAGAACTGGTTGTAATCTTTACGGGAGCAGATTGTCTGGTCTTTCCCTCAAAGAGCCACTGGGTGGGTTTGAACCACCAACCATTTGGTTAACAGACAAGCTAGTGGCACAATGAGTAAGCATTCGGCTGCTAACCAAAGTGTTGGGAGTTCAAACCCACCCAGCACCTCCTCAACAGAAAGACCTGGTGCTTGTCCCATTAAGGTGACGGCCTAAGAAATCGTACGGGGCAGTTCATCTCTGTCACACGGGGCCACTATGAGTTGGAATTGACTGGATGGCCCCCAACAACACAACAGTTCAAGTTCATGGATGAGCCAGTTACATTTTTGTTTAAATCTTCGTTACTGGAATTTAGTGGAAACCATCAAGATTTATGGTATTTGATTCAGCAAAATGGTGACCGGCTCTGTGTCTGTATTTTTTGGGGTGGCCTCCCGTTGGCTCTTCCAGCTTCTCCAGTGGCTGCTGGAGATGAGCCCAGTCAGGCAGGAAAACCACAGAAGCACCTCTGTTTATTTGCTCGTAAGCAAATTCCTCCTGCGGCTCAGTTTGTCTTGGTGGAGTTTACTTACGCAGTAGCATTTCCTTCAGGAATCTTCCTTAATGACCGGAAGGTCACATGCAAGAGAAAGTGTATTCACTTACCTCAAAGACAGGGACAAACTGGTAGATGTTCACATACTGTGTGAGAGCTTAGGTTCTACAGGTTTAAGGAAGGCTGTGGTCTACAGTGGGAGCCCTGACTCCATTTTGAGTCTTGACATAAGTTCAGATACCATCTGAGTTCTTTATGTCTCTTCCCCGCTGCCTGTTGACCCTTAAACCACCAACGTGGCTGCGCTTAGACAACGCTGGGCAGCCCAGCTTTGGGAAGAGTGTGGTTGGAAGGAGATGAACTAGTGCATGGAAAGGTCCTCACGCAAACAGGGCGCCTGCCTGGGCATTTGCCGAGAGGAGCCAATCAGAGGGGTCACCACACAGCCAGGTAATCCAGACCCCAGAACCAATCCTGTAACCTTTTCTAACCTGCGGTTGTGTAGGTATCCCCAGCACGGTCCTTCTCGCAGCCCGCCTGCAAGAGCGACGGATGGACCTGCCACCGTCAGGATCTTGTGTTGAGTTCCCTTGTTCTCTGTCATAAATAACGGACCCCGTGACCGTGACTCGGCGGATTCCGTCAGCCTCTGTACTGCAGGCATGCTGATGGTATCACTCATCCAGACAGTTGTCTTTCTTCGGTCTGTCCTGTGTAAGACTTAAAGAAAGGGCCTGTATAGAACATGTCTGACCCGGGGTCATTTTCTCCTAGTCCAACCAGCAAAAGAGCAAATTATATTTTTTCAAACTTAGTATGCCTTCCTGCTTTTTTTGGGGGGTGGATGTTGAGACAGCAATTTAAGATAGATCTTACAAACCATGATTAAGAACTAAATTAGATAGTATGATAGTTAAGCTCTTAGCAAGTAATTGAAATGTTAGCTGTTGGAGCCCATCAGCCACTCTGTGGAAGTGCCAGCAATCTGCTCCCATAAAGATCACAGCCTAGAAAAACCCACTCTGTCACACAGGGTCGCTGTGAGTCAGAATCAATTCGATGGCACACAAAAATAGCATACATAAACTTTTATGCATTGCACGTAACTCTAGACTATGCTGTCCCCATCATCCTCAAGAAAGGTCTTGAGCTTTCTGGCCCGTCTGGATCTGCATTTGGCCGAGTCTTCGTCTCAGCGGCCTGCCACGTTGCCTGCTGATCCCGGAATTGTTAATTGACTTGAGTTAGGGACCTGCTGTGTGGTTTGATAATTTGGGGACTGTGCCATTTTACTTGTCGATTTTGGGTTTGTCAGCCTCAGCAGCCAGCAGATGTCTGAGTTAAAATATGCTTCCAGCTTCGGTGGGCCAGGAGCAAGAGGCTGAGCTGAAGCCCAAGGTTAAGGGGCTTTGACCCAGCCCCTTAAGCTGGCACTTTGAACTCGGACTTCTAGCCTCCTAGACCATAAGAGAACAACTGCTATTTGTTAGGGCCACCCATTTGTGATATTTTCTGTTAGAGCAGCATCAGTGAACCAAAATAGAGTTTGGTTCTTTTACAAAATGCCTACCTCTGATAGCACCCACGGGGCCTTGTCCTGTTGGCAAGTGTCTCATTTTTGCAAGACGGTAAAGAAAAGAGGAGGGAGAACTAGAGAAGGTCAACCATTGGCTAATTTTAACATGATTGACTGAACCCGGCCCTCCCCCTTTGCTGAGATCCACTGCCAGCAGGTTGCTTCTGGTCTGGCTGCTAATAATTTGGCCTTCCACACCTGCAGCCAGGAGACTTTTTGAGATTCAAATTAGAAGAGCCTAGAGCCTTTTTCAGGGCGCTCTGGTGCCGTGGTGCACAAGGCACTTGACTACTAACCAGAAGGCTGGTGGTTCAAACCCACCAGGCACTCCTCGGAAGGAAGGTTGGGCAATCTACTTCCGTAGTGATACTGCCTCAGAAACCGAAGGAGGGGTCGCTATGAGTCGGTTCTGACTCGACGGCAAACAACACAGCAGCAGCAGAGCCTTTTCCAAGTAGTTCTGGTGGCATAGTGGGCAGGACATTTGGCTGTTAACCAGAAGGTTGGTGTTTAAAACCCACAGTCTTTTTCATTAAGTCAGGAGACAATGATTTGACAACTCTCCCTTTCTAGCAGGACAAGACAAGTTTCCGTTGCCAGAGAGACCTTTCTGGTAGGACTTTTGCAGCTTCGGTCAAGTTTTTTTTTATGATTTCCTGGATTAAAAAATATACATTTAATGTTTATTTATGT